GTCCACCCCCATCCCAAGACCTATCTGATATGTTGGCACTTGGTGAAAAAACAAACTAAACCAAATTTTTATTTATTGAACATGATTTTTATTGTGTAAGCTTGTAATTTCTCTTTCTGGAGACTATTTTAGTGGAGGGAATAATGTCACTAATACTAAAACCATTGTTTTGTTTTGTTTTTTAACCACTTTGATCTTTTAAACTTATCCTCTTGGTTACCTCACTCTGCATTCTTTTTGTCTGGTTACACCACCTTGTCTTTTGTGTACTTCCTTCCCATTCTTTATCCAGGGTCTGAAACCCAATAGGCTCCTGGATATTAATGGGAGGAAACTGGCTGGTTCTAGGCTTGCCTGACTTTCTGCTCAGCACCCTGCCTCTTCCTCCTCGTCTCGTCCTCTCGCTTACTCTTTTTTAGGACTGTTATCAGCAAAACCCCATCACAATGAGTGGGTGAATTTATTAATATTTCACAGGGTTCCGGGGGTGGAGTCCGCAGCCCTGAAGGTGTGATCACAAGATGCACGGGCAGATCATGTTCCAGGCAGGAGTTTTATGTTCTTCGGTTTTAAAACAATGTCTTATCCTCTGAAGATGAACACCAGCCGATTGGAGAATAGAGACAATACTAAAGATATGTCTAATTCTCTTATTTTCTATGTACCAACCCAATTAGTTTCTCTAGTGAGAATGAGACTTGGGATGAAAACTAACATGTAATAAATAATACTGGATAAACACGAAGATGTCATTGTCTTTGATCATCTTCACTGATGACGGGGAAAGGACTGAACGTCATTAATGACTGCCCACAAACGAAGCAGTTTTCAGAGACCGATTTCTTAACTACAAACACAAAGGTGTGAGGGCATGGGAGGGTTAAGGTTTGAGTTTCTATGAAATCACTGTAATCTGAACCTGGTCCTCAAATGACTATTATGCCAAACGTTTCTTGGTGAAATACAACTCATTGTGAATTCTGATTACATTTCCTATTCCCTTCCAAAGAAACAGAAAGGAAATTAAGTTATATTGGATTACATTACAAAAAAGCCAACTGGTGTCTGGGCAGTCATTACCATGTCAGAAGCAAATGGCCATATTGTATGGGGGCAGGCTCTGGGCTATACTGGGCTCCGGCACATGGGCTTGACCTCTTGTTCTTTATGCAAACAACTTGCAAGCATCAGGAGAGAGTTACAAGAACACAAATGTACCTATGTGTTCTCATTATGAACAAAGCCAAATAACGTTTGTTTATGTAAAATAAATGAAAATTACATCTCTTGAAACATGAGTCCAATTCGTTTCTTGCTCACAGCAATATTACCAATTTTAGCCTATCAGGTTTCTTAAACTATCTTCAATGCAGCCAAGTCCATATGGAGGAGCAAAGTATACCAAAGATCTATTTCAGTAGTTACCAGCCACTTTTGGTTTGTAGACCACTTGTTAGTGTCATAGAACAATAAAAATGTTCATTTCTCAAAGGCAGCAGCCATATCAATCCCCTGAGGATTTTGTTAAAATGAAGTTTTGAGTAAGTAAGACAGAGACGAGGCCCACCGCTCCGCAGATCTCGGAGGTGCCCGCGCTGGGGTGAACACATCCGGATAGCGGGGTAATACACAGCATGTGGCCTCCTATCTTCATCGGCCCCAGACTGTCAGTAGAATTAATAGGCAGATGTGAGCTATTTCTTTTTTTTTTTTTTTAAGATTTTATTTATTTATTTGACAGAGAGAGATACAGCGAGAGAGGGAACACAAGTAGGGGGAGTGGGAGAGAGGGAGAAGCAGGCTTCCTGCGGAGCAGGGAGACCGATGTGGGGCTCGATTCCAGGACCCTGGGCCATGACCTGAGCTGAAGGCAGACGCTTAACCGACTGAGCCACCCAGGCGCCCCGAGCTATTTCAATTAAACACAAACAACGCAACCCCTGACTTTTATTTCATATTTTAAGGACATCATGAGTTCATCCTGGAATGCAAAGTATGGATGAGGTTATGATTTCAGGTTTGAAAATGGTTCAGGAAGAATATCTACCGAACACCTGCAGGAACGCGGCGGGACACCAGTCTTCCCAATCCTCCTTTAAAAAGCACTTCATGTTATAATTGCCCCAGTTAGAAAACACTCGGGAGAGTGCAGCCTCAGGTTTTGAGCCTCTCCGGAATGATTCTCCTTCGCAGCCAGGGTTGAGGAGCCCCCGTTGGAGATGACAGGGCCGGGCACGCACAGGGCTGATGTGCTCACAGCTCCCGTGGAGTGCCCCTTGCCGCTTAGAGCACGAATGTGTAACACAAGGCAAATAATCAAGTGAAGAGAAATAGAGTGACTTCCGGAGAGAGAAAGAAGAGGAACCGTGACCAGAAGGGCTGAGGGGCAGGCGAAGGGCTTGACTGCAGTGCAAGAAGAGCCGGGGGACTGAGTGGAGGCGTCCTGGGTGCGGGTGCGGGCAGCAGGGAGCAGACAGGTGTCATCCTCTTTGTTACTTGTATTGATACAGAAGCATCTCGAAGGGAAATGAATGGAAGGCGCATAGGGAATGTATGTGTGTAATGACCACTCCTCTCAAAACTAATGCTTTCATTTTCGGATCTGCTTAAAGGAAACGGGAGAGGGACTATTAAACACCCTGAATCTGGGACAACAGTAAAACTTTAAAAGGGCTCGCTGTGGCCCCGACCTGCAAACCCGGCCGGGGGGCTCCTTCAGCTGGTACAATACAGTGTCTGTGTGGTTGGTGGCTCAGTCTATGTTTATGATACTCTTTGCCAAATCTTAATTCTTGTATCCAAGCAGCACAAAGAATGTGAGATGTGGCGTGATAGCGCTCACTGCCAACATTCAGCACCTCCCATGGGTCCGTCTGCGCTCCGGGCAAAGGGACGGCTGCACAAACATTACACAGCCTGCCGATAAAAGTCAGCGAGCACTGGGGGCCGAGGGTCTATCTAGATGCGATAACCATCAAAATAGAAAGTTAACCCTTGGCTTTTTCACAGGGAACACATACTTATAAGGTTTCAGACACCATTGTTTTTTGTGAATCAGAAACCATAATGCAAGAGACACCTGGTGAACAGTAAATATCGAGACGGTAAGAAACCAAATCTGAACACCTTTATCAGAGAGGCACCACCCAGTTTGGGTGAACAAAAGATTCATGGTTTTCTCTTTCTCAAAGAGTTCACTTCTGTGTGTGTTCTGTTTGTGATCTTCTTTCAGCTGATAGTGGCTTTTGGTTACAAACTCTTATCCTTGTATCTTCTGCCTCACAGCTGTTTAAAGTTCCCATTGGCCACTGCCATTATCTCGTTTTTCAAGCAGCCCCTGGACCCCGCGCCCTTACACAGACAGCCCCACTTGAGAGCCTTTCGCCTCTCTGACTGCTCCATCCCTTTAGGAAAATGCTGGTGCAATAAAGGAGGAGTGATACTCTGATGGCTTTAGGGAGCCCCTAAAAAGGCAGCAGACCTGTCCCAGGCCACAAAGGGGCCCTTGTGGGCTTGTTTATCTATAGGCCCGTGAAAACCTAGGAAGTCACTTTGTTTGACTGGACTAAAAAGCTTAAAATGGTCTCAAGCACAGATTTGCTTTCATTTAAAAAAAAAAAAGATCAAAGGAGGAAAGTATCATCTTCAATCTCACATTCCTCCTTCTCTTGTATCACCTCAGTAAAAGGCATTAAGCAAAAACTATATGTAATTATTAACTGACGGATTCCTTTTTTTTCTTTCTTTCTTTTTTTTTGGAGAAGGAGAGGGGGAGGGGCAGAGGGAGAAGGAGAGAGAGAATCTCAAGGAGACTCCCCTCTGAGGGTGGAGCCCGACATCAGGCTCGATCTCACAACCCTGAGATCATGACCTGAGTTGAAATCAAGAGTTGGATGTTCAACTTGACTGAGCCATCCAGGCGCCCCCATTATTAACTGATGGATTCTTTATAATACTTTTCAGCTAGAGTCTGCAATATTTATTTGCCTTTTTTTAATGCATTTGTCTCCCTCAGCATTCTAGACCAGAAACCAGTATTTTGTTTGACAGGTGTTAAGTAAGATAAAAGCGGACATTACACACGCATATATTGGAAATCGTGCAATAGATTGTAAACACTGATACATTCTGATGAGATGATTTACTAACCAACTGCTCATGGCTTAGTCTTGCCAAATAATCACCGTGAATAATTGCCTACACCCCAAGCTCTAAAACATCCAGCTCGTAAGAAAGTTCTTTTTGTGAGAAATAACTAATTTTTATTTACTCAGAGATTCCAAATCAGTGAAGAGTGGAGACTCCTGACAGAAAACTGTGTGTTTGTAATAAGGAACAGTAACACCACCACCGTGTTATGTTTGTGGGTGTGTCTGTGTGTGTAGCTGAGGTGTGTGTGAGTCTCTCTGTGGGACTGTTTGTATGCTTGTACGTCTGTGTGTGGCGATAGGGAAGTTGTGCAGCAAGGCTTCAAGACATACCATCAGATCTCAGTTTACGGATATGAGGACCCCTGAGGTACATACAGAACTTGAAAAATTAAATCTGTATTGGACTCAGCAAACATTTTACTACAAGGCAGCTCAGATCATCTGAAAACAGAATAAACTGAAGATGCTAAGCTGTCTAGATTTTGACACTCCTTTTTCTAGATAAAAGGAGAAAGCATTCTCTCTGATTTGAACTCCGGAACTAAAATATTACAGGGGAAGGCAGGACAAGATCCTGGACGTTCTGTCCCTTGATGCCAGCGTACCCAAGAGGCTTTTCACTGCAGGTGCTGTGACTGAGTATCTGACCTGAAACTCCAAACTCCAGCACTGGTCCCTCCCACACGTATTGTTTAATGAGGATTTGAAGGATTGTTGCTCTAATGAAAAGTCTCATTCACAACTTCTTTAGGTATGGTCCCCAACCAAGGAATTTATGAAAATGGTCATTTGGACATTTCAGTGCTCCTTCCCATATTCATCCTGAGAACATTGGCAATTGATACTTACAGGGACTGAAGGCTTCGCAAATTCTGCAGAGCTTCCATCGGTACCTGTCTTAGGTGATTATTCTGCAGCATACTGCACATGAAAACAAACGAAGAAAAACATTAAAGAAGGTTCACAATAATTAATAATAATTGGCCGTAGCAGTGCCAGGCACTGTTCTAGGCGTCAGGGAAACAGCAGAGCATCAGACCAAGTCTTGGCCCTTAGGGAGCTTACATTCCTGTGTGGAGTAAAAGATAATTAAAAATTAATGGATGCGTCTATAACATCAGACAAGTGATAGGTACTATGAACAAAAAACAAAACAAGGATTTGGGATGGATAGCTACAAGGGGTGAGATTTTTTTCTTTTTAAGATTTTATTTATTTATTTGACAGAGAGAGAGACAACGAGAGAGGGAACACAAGCAGGGGGAGTGGGAGAGGGAGAAGCAGGCTTCCTGCTGAGCAGGGAGCCCCATGCGGGGCTCGATCCCTGGACCCTGGGATCATGACCTGAGCTGAAGGCAGACGCTTAACAACTGAGCCACCCAGGTGCCCCAAGGGGTGAGATTTTTATCTTAAAGGTGGTCAGGGAAGATCTTTCTTAGGAGGTGATACTTGAGTGGAAACTAGGATGGAGTCATGGAGCAAATTCTGTGAACATCTGGGAAGAATTTCTGAGAAGAGGGAGGAGTAAGTGCAAAGGCCCAGAGGTGGGAGCTTGTTTGACTCGTTCAAGGAGCAGCAAAGGAGGAGTGAGAGAGAGCAAGAGGCTGGGAGAAACTGAGCCATCTCATGGAGGACTTGTAGGCCACAATAAGTCTTTAAGTGTGATGAGAAACTCTTGTTGAAGGGTTTATGTAGGGAAATGATATGCTCTAATTTATGTTTTTTTCCTTTTTAAAATTTTGATTATAGTTGACATACAATGTAACATTAGTTTCAGGTGTACAACTTACTGATGTATAAGTTTCTACATCATGCTATGTTCATCACAAGTGTAGCAACCATCTGTCTTTATACATCGCTATTACAATATCATTGACTGTATTCCTTATGCTCTGCTTTTTATTCCTGTGACTTACTCATCCCATAACTGGAAGCCTGTACCTCCTACTTCCTTTCACTGATTTTGCTCACCATCTCCACCCCCCACCTCCCAGCAACCATCAGTTTGTCCTCTGTATTTATAGGCCTGATTCTGCTTTTTGTTTGTTTATTCATTTTTTCAGATTCCACTTATGAGTGGAATCATGTGGTATTTGTCTTTCTCAGTCTGATTTATTTCATCTAGCATAATACTCTCTAAGTCCATCCACGTGGTCTCAAATGGCATGATCTCAGCTTTTTCGTGGCTGCATAATATTCTCTCTCTCTCTCTTTCTTTCTCTCTTTCTCTCTCTCTCACACACACACACACTTTTCCTTATCCATTCATCTATTGATGGACACAGGTTACTTTCATATCTTGGCTATTGTAAATAACATTGCAATAAAGACAGGGGTGCATATATCTTTTCAAATTAGTGTTTTTGTTTTCCTTGGGTAAATACCCAATAGTGGAATTACTGGAACATATGGTATTTCTATTTTTAATTTTTTGAGGAAGCTCCATACTGTCTTCCCCAGAGGCTATTCCGATTGACATTCCCACCAACAGCGTACGAGGATTCCCCTTTCTCCACATCCTCACCAACACTTGTTTTATTTATGCTTTTAAAGGATCACTCTGATGACTATATAAATTAGACAAATGGAAATATGGATACAGTAGGAAGCTATTAAAAATCTTCTCTCTTCTTGTGTGTGTGGTCATATTTTAATAGAAACTAAATTCTTTTTGTGAAGTTTTGTGCTTTTGTTTGCCTGGATTCAACAGTTTCAGAATGTGAGGACTACAGAACAGAAACACCCGGTAACAATGAAATAAAAATATATCATTGCTAGCAGGGAAATAGCAAGGAAAAAAAATTCCCATTAGATTCCTTGTATTTTGATATCTTATTCATAAATGTTTATAACACCATAATTTCGCAGCCATTCCCTCTGTATTTCATGGTCTCTGTAAGCCAGAGGCAGAAGACTATTTTAGGAAAGCAGACATTTTACAGAAATATTTCTGCTGAGGAGGCTACTACTTATATTTGAATCTGAAAAAATGTGCCTGGTTCTCTCCTCTCCACAATGGAAGTTTCTTTTCATAAGATGCCTAGTTAGGATCCAACCCCAAGTATGTCTAACTCTGAACTTGATGTACGTTCCACTGCACTTTGCAGCATTCTCTTGAGGCATATTTGCTGAATGTCCAGTCTCAGGTTGTATGGTGTATGATCTGATTAAGGCATGGGTAAGACAATGGGTTCTTGAATCTGTCCACCTCTTCCCTGCCACTAGCAGAGTGGCCTCGGGGAAATCATCCAGTTTCTCCACATCTCAGTGACCAATGATAATACCCACCCGAGGGCTTCCTGCGATGATCTGATGAGTGAACGTACACAGAACAATCCCTGCTGTACGGTAAGCATTCCATAAAGGTCGGCCCTTTCTGTATGAATTGACAGACTCCTTGTCAAAACAATATAATGAGATCATACTGGATATGACATTTTAATTAACCAGAAAATAAAACGGGCAGAAAAAAAAATCTGTGCCAGTGGTTCTCAGACTTTGGGGTTCATCAGACTCCACTGGAAGACTTGTTAAAACCCAGTGTGCTGGGCCCCACCCTCAAAGTTTCTGGTCCAGTACATCTGGGTAAGAGCCAGAGAATGTGCATTTCTAACCAACTTCCAGGTGATACTAGTGCTGGAGGGCAAGGTGCTACACCTGAGAACCACCCTATGCTAGACTAAGTGATTTCTGGTAGAGTATTTTCACCTAAACTTGAGGCTATATTGACCTTGGAGATAAGGCCTAAGTTTTGAGTCTTAGGGAGCAAACCATTTAATCTCTCTGACCTTTGGTCACTTATCTGTATAATGGGAATAGAATAAGATCATCTGATTGATGAGGTGTTTGAGGATTAAAATATGAAGGTGTTTATAACACTTTCATATATACAAATGTGAATTTGTATACAAATAAGACATGAAAAATATTTAAAGGTCATAAAATTTATACTTTTCTTATCATGTCTGAGACTGTTTAATAAAGAATAGAATTATGTCACTTGTATTCCAATAGTTTGCTGAAATAATTTCATTGTTAAACTTGAATTCAACTAACATTTCATAAATCAAGATTGTCAAATGTATTGGTTCCTTATGAACAAAGTCAAGTTTTAGAAAGATCTCACGCTTCACATACCTGTTAGGGAATTGGGAAAATTGTAGCTTGAATTCCATATTTTGCATAATTTACCTGAATATTAACATTTTACATTTCTAGGTTATTTTACATTTTTCCAAGTAGTTTTAATATATTATATAATTTTAACTCCATAGAATGTCTTCTAAGTCACTCATTAATTGAGTGATAAGTTTAAATGATGGTAAGACACAGATAATGGACTTAATTGATGTCTAAACTTTGTAGGTAATATATTACTCTATAAAGTATTTATTGAATAGTCTTTCTATGCTTTACTAACCAAACAGTGAAACTATTAAAATGTGGAATTCCTAAAAAATTGGAAAATTGGAGTAGAGGATAAGAGATATTCAGATGGTTTTCCTTCATTAAGTAGTTGCAAACTTTTTCCGAAGTTTCATATATCTGGTTTCAGAAAACAGAACTTAGGTGAGGTTTGCTAATGATAATTTTTAAACTACCCCTGAACTACCACTCAGCAATTTAATTTTTGAACTACTTCTGCCAGAAAAATACCAAAAACGCAATTTAAAAAAATCACTTAAGTCCTGAGCTCTTCCTAAAATAACTTCTGTTTAATTACTTTTAAATAACAAAACAAGAGCAAGTTATCTCCATTATATCCTTATAAGTCTCCAGTGAGTTAATTAGAAAATTCTGTTTTTGTTTAAGATATCCTAGTGGGAGACAAAACAATTAAAGGGTTTACAGCACTATGGAGTGCAATTAAAACAGAAAGCATTCACAACATGGCTGCTGATTTCTTTTGCAAATATTCCTTTATTCAGTGCATTGAATATAAGCAGAAAGCACTGTAAACTGAATATGCGTTTCGGCACTTTTAGCTTCGTTTTTTTATCATTCGCCTACGGGGGACAAAAGAAAATAAAGCACTTTCTCTAGAGACAAAGGATGGTTGCATATTTTCTTAATTTCTTTCCCTGATTTTAAAATATTAAAATTTAAAAATGTTTTTATTTTTAAAATTTATTTTAAAATGTATTAAAAATCTAAATACATTTAAATTATTAAAATTTAAAATATTCACTATTTCCTACAGCATCCCATGCTTCTTAATAACACAATGTTTGGTTATCTTTTTTGCCAACAGGACTAACCAAGAACAGGTACAGTGCAGCAGAGGGAGATGAAATCATATGTTATAAGGGGTCTTCATCACATCGATAGCTTGATCCTTTGGTATTCCTTCTGCCTAATTGTTCTGTGTTTAGATATCAAGTAACTGCTGAGACTCTGTTGTAAGTCTACGTGGGAATGAGAGAATTTTGGCTACTTGTACTTTTCCCCGGTTAGTTTTACCCATCACCTCCACATGGCTTTGGTTCTTGTGCTGGGGGGCAGGATGAGAAGCCATTCCTTGACTGAATAGCTTACACAAGAAAATGAACCTTGGTTGAAGAGAGCCTGGTTCAGAATTCCACTGGACTGGGTATTTTGCAATGCAGAACCAATAACTTATTTTTTTTATGAGGCCAATATACAGAGGAAATCTTAAATATTAGTGATCTTCCAGAGTTCACAGTAGCAAGATTTCAGATATAACAGAGTCCTAGTCAAGGAGGGCTGTTGCTATCTTTATTTTCTCAATGGACTGGCTTACTATTCTCTCTCTCTTTTTTTAATCTTCTCTAAGCTGGTCAGAGACCCAGATGAATATAACTTTTATATTACCTTTCTTACCATGCTATACTGTAATCAGTTACTTCTTTCTTCCAATGACTTTTGGACTTTATAAAACATTTGGAAGAGTTGTCATGAGCATAGAAACAGACTTGTCTTCTTCTGCATTTTACCTCTAGTTCGGTCTTAACCCTATTGGACCCAATTCTCCCTTTAATACCAAATATTTTATAATACCTCATCTCTTATATTTAGATAAAATTCATTAAAATATAGCCTATTTACATACATCATTTTGAAGGAAAAGATCAATATAATGTACTGCCCTAACTATATTATGAAGGACAAATAAAAGAGATTTATAATAAAGTGATACATGTATCATTACACACATGATGTTCAGATAGGAGACATATTTATGAACGAGTCAGATGTTTGCCTCTCCTTTTAATGAATAAGGCTGGGCATGAGAGAAACACCATGAGCAGAAGCTATTCTGGACAAGAACAGGGAAATGAGATTAGAGGTCTAGATGGATACTGAGTAGCACATCACAGGACAGTTTACTTCATGCCAATCATCTGGAAAACCAAAGACGTCCCCACAAGTTTCCAAAACACTCTGTGGCAGGCAGAATGACCATGGTTGAGAATCATTGTTCTCCTACCAAAATACTTTCAAAATATTTGACGGTTGAATTTGCTCATTGAATATTAGTGTTTAAGTCAGCAAAGTAAAAGGAAGAGTGAATTCAATTCCTGGCAGGGGTCTTGCTCCTCTAGATCCCTCTTCACATGGACAGAGATCTGCAAAGTCTGAAACTGCCATGCCTGTGCTTACAACTTTTCCCTGGTTCCTCATCACGCCTAGAACACGATCATGCCCATGCATATTTGACATGACACGCAGGATCTCTGGGACCAGGACCCTTTCTATCTCTTACAGGAAGCAAATCTGAACCATCAGACCAGACTAAATGTTTCCCAACCTCTGGAGTTCCACAGTGCCCTGCATATATCTCTAGACACGCTTTTCAGATGAATCAGAGATCTGTTTGTTTGTGTTTGTCCTACTATCCTGATCCCACAACCTATCACTACAGTATAAACTCTCCAAGGGTATGGACCATACTTACTGATCTTCGTATTTTTAGCAATAATCTGTTCAATGCCACACACACACACACACACACACACACTTTCTCTCTCTCTCTCTAGCTCAGTACACCCAAAATACATTTTGTTAAGTGAATTAAAATAATTGATTGTAGTATAACTTATTTAACAAGTATCCAAAATGCTTTGTGATATATATCTCAACATTGAAAAAACATCATTTTATTTGTCTTACCTAAACTCGATTTATTTCTGATGCATTTTGAATGGTTTGCTGAGTTCATGGAGATATAGGTGCATTAAAGAGTTGGTGCTACAGCTCAGAATTTTACCACATAATGAATTAACATGAGGATTTGGTAATAGGACAACTTAAAAATATTTCTGCCTAATAGAAAAAACAACGGCAGGGGGGACCAAACTCAACCGCCAAAGCAGACCAAGCGATGGTTCTGCTGTTAAATTTGATTTTTAACAAAATGTTGAATTTAAATAAAACTGCTTTTCTAATAGCCTCTGTATCCCTCAGGTCAATGAAATACATTTTCCATTAAGGAGAAATATATGAAATGCCTTCTTAGAGTTCATAACTTTTATCTCAAAGAAAGGAAGTAAATTCAGGATATTCTCTGAGATAAAATTTTTGTGGTATGACTTTCAACTTATGCTACCTATTTTCTCTACCTAGGTGATTTTTTTTCCCACACAGAATAAAGTGAAAGAAATTAAGCAATGAGTACTAGAAGGAGGTATTCAATAATAATGAGTTTTCTGATGAACAAACTGGGAAGTTGGGTATTAAATAATAAGAATACTGCTTTTACAAGTCTCAATGAATGAATAATTCTCAATTAAATAACTACTCAATGTATCTGTTACGCACTCGGCTTTTCTCTATTCACAAGTGGAATATAAACTTGGTTGTGTTTTAGCTAATCCTTATTCAGTGCATTATAAGGAAACAAGCATGACAAATGTTTTGAGGCTGTGATCTCATTATGTCAGCATCATAATGATTTATTCACTTGGTGATCAGAATGATTCAAGAAACTGTCCCCAACTTCATTACCCAAAAGGAAAGGGAAAGAGCTTCTTAAAAGTCTAATTTGGTAAGTTGCTTCTTTAGAGGCAATTTTAGAAATTAAATTAGAACAGGAGGGATGGACAGTTTTTTCACACATGAATCCAGCCAGGTATAATGCGGTCCTATGGTACCAAAAAAGTAGACTTGATTTTAAGTGAATTAGCCGATGGTTCTAAATAGCTTATTAGAGGGATTCAGTCTTTACAAGTTAATTAGCATCCACTTGACACTAAAAGCAGAAATATAACAAATAAAAAATAAATATAACAAATAAGACCCTGCTTACTTACAGAACTTTAAGACTGTAAAGGCCAGCGAATGCTCCCTTGGGAATGTATGTCAAAGCATTTCCGGCAAGACGTCTGTGGGTTTCAAGGGAGAAGAGAGACAGTGAGCATAGTTCTCTTCATGTGGAATTCATTTAGTTGTTAAGAAATGCAACAGAATTTTGTTCAAACCACAAATGCCAAAAACAACTGTAGAGAACTTTGTCCTGATATATTTTTTGAAAAGCTTCTGTAAATTTCTAATCAAAAGGCTGGCAAAAGAAGTGCCTACAAAGAAATATGATAAATTATCTATTTTTACACGAAATCATTTAATAGCTTAGACTATATATGTAGCTCTCCTTTCTAAAAAATTTTATACAAAAGTTAGCGCCGTATAATAATCTTCAAAAATTGTAATGTCAAACTGTGATTGTCACATGATTTTTACAGTTTTTCTGTAGAAGCCTAAATAAATCAGATAATCAAACATGAGTATATTTCCGTTACAATTATCCCACAAAATACCCAACTTTCTTGCTAAATCTGGCAAATAAGAATGCAGACTATCACAGTCAGTTTTTTCTTTTTCTAATTAACATATAATGTATTATTTGTTTCAGGGGTACAGGTCTGTGATTCAACAGTCTTACACAGTTCACAGTGCTCACCATAGCACCTACCCTCCTCAATGTCCATCACCCAGTCACCCCATCCCTCCCACCCCCCTCCACTCCAGCAACTCTCAGTTTGTTTCCTGAGATTAAGAGTCTCTTACGGTTTGTCTCCCTCTCTGGTTTCACCTTGTTTCATTTTTTTCCTCTCTTCCCTTATGATCCTCTGCCTTCTTTCTCACATTCCACATATCAGTGAGATCATATGGTAATTGTCTTATTTCGCTTAGCATAATACCCTCTAGTTCCACCCACGTCATTGCAAATGTCAAGATTTCTTTTTTTTTTTTTTAAGATTTTATTTATTTATTTGAGACAGAGAGAATGAGAGACAGAGAGCGAGAGGGAAGAGGGTCAGAGGGAGAAGCGGACTCCCTGCCGAGCAGGGAGCCCGATGCGGGACTCGATCCCGGGACTCCAGGATCATGACCTGAGCTGAAGGCAGTCGCTTAACCAACTGAGCCACCCAGGCGCCCCAAGATTTCATTTTTTTGATGGCTGCATAATATTCCATTGTCTATATACACCACATCTTCTTTATCCATTCATCTGTTGATGGACATCTAGGCTCTTTCTATAGTTTGGCTATTGTGGGCATTGCTGCTATAGATATTGGGGTGCACGTGCTCCTTCGGATCACTACATTCACAGTCAGTTTTTTCTAAACTCTATCAGAAAAGGGTAGAATATTTTAATCAATGGTTTAATTGGAATTGTATTTCAAAATGGTATTATGCTTAAAAAATTGAAAACAATAAAGAGTGTTCAGTATGAGAGACATTAGTAAGGTTTATTTAGTAGAAAGTTTTGACATCATTAACTGGTAAAATTGAAAGAGTATATAATATTTTTCTAAGTGGGAAACAGTCAGGGTGAGAACTTACGCAAAAAGATGGACAAGGTGTGGTACCGAAAGCACCTGGTTCAGTACTTTTTTGGCAATCACATCAAAGCCATAACCTCAGGTGTTAGATGGTTCCACAAAATGGAAAATCCGAGAACAACACAGTGACTCAGAAGAGCACAGAACATTTTAAGGAGCTGATCACATTGTAGAAGGGTGGGTAAAACCAGCAATCAAGACACCCTCATGTTTCCTTAAAAGAGATGGAGGTTGGAGTAAAAGGGTGGAGTGGCCCACTCGGACTAGTGCTTATTCCTGAAGGGCCGAACAGCTTCAAATTTGTATTTTGATATTATCTCCAAATGAGAGATAATTCAGTTCCGTTGAGCTCCACCGACGGGACTGAAATAAGCCATTCAGCATACAACTTCAAATATGTGTCCCAGGGCTAGTCTGCACCACCACCAAGCTGTGAGTATTGAAATAAATATTATCTCACAAGCAGCACCTCTGAATAGCATTTTTGGCATGTGTATCAGAAAGCATAATTTGCTCGATCCAAATTAAATTGACTTAAAATGAAAATGTATCACAATTTTTGTAATCTTGCTTTTATTTATTTTTTTTTAATTTTAAAATATATAACAAGAGACTTGAATCTGCCAAGAAGGTCTGCCTATTTCGGGTCTGCACCACCAACTTGCTGTGAGCTGTTAAGTAAGTTTATACTTCTGAGTTTCATTTTCTCACTAATTACATGAAACAGTAAGATAAGGTAGCTACTCAGGTCCCTTCTAGCTCCTGAACTCTAGGACTTCTCTCTCTCATCTTATGTTTACTTGTGTTTGTGCCTATTTTCCTTCTCTTAACAAATATAATTTTGTTAAGATTCAGATAGCTCTTATATGGTACTCCTCCTGCCTTCCTCATGGTGCCTAAAGACGTCTTTCTCAAACTATAAATAAATTTAGTGGCTTGGGATAGAATTAAAAAAAAGAGAGTAGAAAAACAACAGATTGCATTTTCTACTCTAGTAGAAAAGTATCATTTTATGAAAGCTTTGTTTTGAAACATGTTTGTGAAACTGGATTGAGGGGAAGAAATGGATTTCTTCCTGTATAGGGTCAGACAAGTTTGAAGGCCACTAGCCTAGAGCATAGTAAGGCATTCAATAAATGTATGCCAATAACATGGAATTCAGCTAATATTTAACCAGGGTGGTTTCAGAAGTGTTTTTTTTATTTCCTATTAAGTTGTCTTACTAGAAAACCCTCTTTAGACTATCACAACTGGCCTTCCATCCAGTCTCCCACACTGAATCCCTCCCTACGCCCACTCATTCTGTGTCCACCACCATCTTTGCAAAGCCAACTCTGATTATATCACTCCCCTATTCAAAACCCTTCACAAATGAAAAGAAATGCAAAGTCCTCAGCTTCCTCTCCATAATTCCCTGATCTGTGTTCTATGATGTAGCTCAACGAAACTATGAGGCTTGCTTTTCTTAGCTGTGCCGTCCACCATCTCCCTTCTGGCCCTTTGCTCTATCTAAAATGTTCTTCCTCCTCTCCCTTGCTGTCTCTCAAAGCAATTTCATTTCTTAGCTTTCCAAATGGATGGGCCAGCTCTCTATTTTGAACCACTCTGGTAGCACTTTCTGCCTCTCTATGGGTTTGCTGGCTACCTTGTGTGACAGCGTGTACCTGTCTTGTCACACACATTCCCCTGAAAGTGGGAATTCTTTCTGTATCCATTATAGGGCCTTGCATAGTGTCTGAAACAGAACAGGCTGCCCCAGTAGTGTCCAACTAATCATTTGAGTAGAGACGACTAACTGTCCCCGGCATCCACGGCCCCCTCCTTCTAGAATAGTACCCCCTACCCGGAGTTTTAGCAGAGTGTGTGGTCACCCAGCCAGAGACTACACTTCCCAGCCTTCCTTGCGTCTAAACGTGGTAATGCAACCAAGTTTGGGTGTGAATGAAAGTGAGGTGTGAAAACTCCCGTGTCACCTCCTTAGAAGGAATCTGCTTACCCCCAATTTTGTCTATTACAGGAAATTCCTGCAGAAGTGGTACTGGTGAGACAACACTAAGGATTTTGGTGTGGAGAACACTCCACCGAAGGCAAAACAAGGGCAGCAAAAGAGCCAGAAGGAACCCGAGCCCCTGGGTGACTTTAGGGAGCAGAGCGGTCCCCTCGCCCTGGCGTCCTCTTCGGATGAGTAACAGAATCAGTGTGATCCCTTGTTGCTCTCTGCAAACAAGTCCGTGATCAAAGGATTATGTCGCTGGCAAGGCTAGTAAACCTCCGCTGTTCGAGACCTTTCTAGATGCCGGGCTTGAGGAGCCATGTTTGCAAAACCGTTCCAAACTGCCACATCCACTCTCCTCTCCTCATCTCCCTTTTGTCCTTATATCATGAGCTTGCTCTTGGCACCCCTGAACGCTCACAGCCATTGCATGTTGCTGTTTCGAACAGTCACGCTAAAGTCGGAAGACGTTTATTTTATCATTCCTTCAAGCAATCTTTGCAGATCCGACAAGTATTGACAGAGGGCCTGCCCTGTGCGGGCGCTGCGGTCGGTGCAGAGATGCAGCAGTGATCCCCAGATGGGTAAAGATGCTGACCGCACGGAGCTCCCTTTCTAATGTGGAGAGATGGTCATTAACGGAAACACAAAGGAAGACCACCACACAAAACAGACTCTGAAAAAAACATCCAAGGCGAGGGGATGAGAGCAATGTGGAGGACAGTGGGCGATTCTTTCAGATCTGATATCAGGGAAGCCTGTCTGCTGAGTGGGCATTTCAGCAGAGGCCTGAGACATGCAGGTATGTATGTGAAGGGAAAGTCGTGCAAGAGCCCCGCACTGGGAGTGGGCCTGGGGGGGGGGTCCCGAAGCTGTGAGGAGGCCAGCAGGGCTGGGGTGGAATGACACAGGGAGCGAGTGCTGGGGCGGGGAGTGGGAGTGTGGAGAGGTGTCCAGGGCCACTTCACGCAGGGTTCTGGAGGCCACGGGAAGGACTCTGGCCAGGAGAGGGGATGCGATCAGTCTTCTGTTTTAAAGTGGTCCTTCTGGGGGTGCCTGGGTGGCTCAGTTGGTTAAGCGTCTGCCTTCGGCTCAGGTCATGATCTCAGGGTCCTGGGATCGAGTTCCGCATTGGGCTCCTTGCTGTGTGGAGTCTGCTTCTCTCTCTGTCTGCCGTCCCCCCTGCTTGCGCTTTCTTTCTCTCTGACAAATAAATAAATAAAATCTTCAAAGAAAAATAAAGTGGTCCCTCTGATGGGAGCTCTTAAAGGGGAGAGTGGAGTGGAAGCCACAGGGGTGACCGGAGCAGTTCAGGTGGGAGATGCTGTGGGAGATGCTGTTGTAGCGCCCCAGGGCAGAGGTGGCCAGACGTGGTGGGATCTGGTGCAGAAGAAAGAAAAATCCAACCAGGCAACCCACTAGGGGCAGGGCGACATATAGGCAGCCAAAAAAGAGCAACATTTTACATTTATGGTTATATTATCTGTAACGCACGGTCATTTGCCTAGTTACCCAAAGTACTACGTGTAACACTGAAGTAATGAAC